TCCCTACAGGTGGATCTGGACTAAAACTGCATGTCACATGAAACCCTGAGTTCCTAGCCCCAGAAAAATGGAATACCAAAATGATCTGTTACACCTATAGAAGAAACAGGTTTATCCAACAACAAAGTAGTATATCCTACTGAAGAGAATAATAATCTGCTACAAGCATATTTCAGGCAAGGATTTCCAACCAGTAAATTTGTCTTTAAAGACAATAACAACATATGGTCATCTACATGTGCGCGGACAAGTAAAATAACCTTCCTGGTTTAAAAAAAAAAAAACAGACCATCATCTACGGCTTTCAAAAATAGATTCAATTTATACCATCCAAAAAGCGGGTTGCCTCAGTTGCAATGTATACTTAAATTCAGTAAACTATACTGCTTTGACATCAGGCGTGGGTACACCAGAATTTAAGGGAAGGGAGCAAAGTCTCTAGCCCTCTCAGATAAAGTCTCTAGCCGCTGCAAAGATAACCTCTGAGAGGTATTGCAAACACAATTCTGTTCAAGTCTGTGGACAACTTGGGGGAAAAAAGAGCGAGAGCTGTGAATTGCCCTTCTTCCTTTTGAGGCTGTAATGTTTCTGAGGTCTAGACACACCAATTTAAGTGTCAGCATGGTTAAATGTTTCACTGTTGACCACAACCTGCAAGAACGTACAGCACTTGCTGAGACAAGACTAGGGAAACCTGCTATGATGGGGCCATGTTTACAATCTCATAAAGTTGTATTTGGCTTGTCAGTAGAGAGTCCTGCTCCCATTTCCACCCTCTTCCACTCTAACTGTTGTCACAGCAGTAAATTAAATCAGAGTATAAATCCTCCAGTTCTTATCAGGTATACAGTAATTTGTTTCAGACCACTCTTAAAAGACAACAGTCTAAGAATTAAGCTTTTACCTCAGAAGGACTAATAACAATATAGGAAATACTGCAGCTGCTTAGCGTTCCTCCTGTGGGTTGGATTGTTCCTGATCTAACCTTGGCCTAGTACTGATATTTGGGAATGGTCAGATGACTGAGAGCAGCCAGGTCAGTGTGTCAGTGCCCCCCCAGGCGAGCTGCTGCATGCTGCTAGCCCCCTACTATTCAAAACCATGTGGGTTAGCTTAAAACCACCTTCAGTGGTGATTTAACAAATCCATCTGAATCTGCATTTAGCTGAGGGGCAATGACTTTTCTAAATGGCTGTGTTAATTGCTTACAGTCCTCTGATCCTCTCTCTGTAAGTGTCCTCAGTGTAGGCAGAATGAGTATATGACACCCTTAAAAACTGTACAATTGTCATTCCAGGGAGTGAGTGTGGAAAACGCATATTACAAGACTTTGGAGCCTAGCAGCATACACTTACCCAAAATAATTCTCTGTCCCAGCTCTCCTCCTAAGTTTAGCACTGCCTCAGTAGCAGTAAAAACAAGCTTTAAGGGACAATTCAAACTAAGTAAAATTGCCCATACTGTCTGCTGTTACAAGCTGAACAATTTTAAGATGTCAAGATGTAAATATGAATTCTGGACCTAGGATTCTAAATTTGGTAACCAAAAGTCATTCAATGCTGTTTTATATTAATGTGTTAATAACTTTATTGTGTGCAGAATGCTGCACTTGGAGCAAGCATTTCTGCCAACAGAAGTGATGTGATTTTACCTCCTCATGCCGGTATTTATCAGACTAGTTGTTACCAACTTTTAAGAGTTTAATACAAGTTAAAAGTCTTGAGATACTTGTTTTTGTTTTGGTTTTTAAACACACACACATATGGCGACAGATAATTATACGAAAGTCTTAGTTTTTATTTGCTGGGGCAAGGAGAGGCAAGGATGATAAATCTAAATCTCAAAAGAGCCAGAGAAAATTTAAAAAAAAAAAACAAAAAAACACCAAAACAGCTTTAAGGCACAGTGAAAAGCTCCAGATTTTCTAAGCCATTTTCATTATTCTGGGGACCTCACTTTTGAATTTTCTGGGTCAGTAAAATTAATTCAATAATTTTCAGGATTTTTTGCTGTGATTCATCCACCGCCATTGTTGTGCCTCCCCGTTACAACCAAGTTTTGAGCACGCTTCTTTTCCCCTTGTTCTTTTGGCTATTACAAATAACAAGTAACCTATACCTACACACTAAAAATAATAAAAGGCGTATTTCAAGCTTACCCACAAACTTCTGTGGGGTGGAGCTTTTACGCTTTCCCATGTTGCTTGTCAGCTTCTCTATAACAGCAGGTCTCTCAAAAGGCACCAGAGAAATATTGTTGTCCATCACAGGCTCTTGTTCCTTACAATCTTCCATAGGAGGTACTACATAAAACCAAAAAATCGTATCAGACAAGTCTGGTCTACACTTTGCAGACAACACAAATAATTTGAGCCCTGCTGACTGCACAACAAGTGCAACACAGAATAAAGCAAGGTGCAAGAACACACTGGGCATCAAGATAGCATTCACCTTCAAGCAGAGCCACATTTGCAAAATGCGTCTGCTTGGGACCATTTTATTTAGCAGAAGCTCAACTTTAAGCATTTATTAAAGGACTTGTTTTGTTCTGAATACTCAAGATCCCCAGTGATGAGGGGACACTTTTGAAAACTTACTCTGTAGATGACATTTTCAGTTATTCTCCCTTCAGTACAGTCACCTGTTGCCAGTGTAACTTTTTGGTTATCATTCTTTGTGTATTCCCTTAACTTCATGGTTATCATAAGGCATGCTTACTGTTCTTACTCTCTTTTTGCGCTAATCTCAATGACTAAAAAACATACAAGGCATTGATGACTTGTGTTTCCTGGGCCTGGCTGTGCATTGCCCAAGACAAAGGCTTCCAGAATGAAGGATCTGTTTGTTAAAGTGTGTTTCCTCTTTCTCTATGTGAGATTATAAAATCAACAAATGCTGTACTGGAATTACAGGATTAACATAATATGGAAATTCCCTTCAGAATCAGTCAGAGAAACTATTTTTTTTTAATTAATATTTTATCCCTTCAAACACAGACCTAATAATGAATGAATGCAAGTCTTCTGTGTCTTGTCTTCCCACTTTTTAGGATCAGCAGGGAGCATCCCTGTGCTAACTACGTTAGGGGAATACTCATACACCGTCTTTGAGACAATAGCTTCTGTCTTTACTCATTTCACTCTTTGTCACTTGTTGGATTAGGGAATAAGGTGCTAAAGCAGAAGCAGTACAGGAATTGCATGGGCTACCGACCAGGGTAGTGACCAACTTGCACAGGGTTTTATGTCACTTGCTGGCATAGCTAACCACTAAATACCTACAGAGTACTCTGGTTTTTTGAGCATCATCTTATAAACACCAAGAAGGGTCAGTGGTTCCACGCTGCAGGATCAGGCTCAGAGAGTCCACACTTTTGACATATATTGCAAATGACTTGATTCCATATGTAGCTCTTCCCACTGTTCTGCTGCCATGAATTTAATACACGACTTAATTGTCCCACATTCATCTTCGTAAGGTAGCAAAAGAAACCTTGGAAGGATCAGCCACTAGTCTGTGTGCTAATGGGTTAGTTGAGGTGTAAAAAATTATTTAAGGAGAGGAATGGATGGCAGAGAAATAGAAATGGGGATGATCTTGCAAACAGTTCCTACAATTTGTAAACTGTGAGCAACCATTGCATTCTCTGTATTAGATAAATCTTCCAGAGTAGTCATGGGTGGTACTGCAGAAATACTCTGAAACACACATCTTCTGCTAGTCCTCCTCTGGTTTCTCACTGTAGCAGCCTTTTGTGTCACAGATACCTTCTCCCTGAGACTGTGCCATAAATGAATACCACCAGCCTACTTTCCTCCCATGTAACTTTACTACCTTCAGGATCCTAATACGGAATAATCACTCCCCTGTTCTTAAACATGCAGCTGTTTGCTAGCACATAATATATGAAAAATGGGGCGATAAAAGCCTTGTCTTTGCCTTCTTTCTAGTAAGGAAGAGCAAATACCAGGCAATTACAAAACAGAGTATCTGCTCAGGTGAACTCCGCAATTCAGACATTCATAATAAGAAAACATGGCAATTTATTCATTTGATTCCATTTGTGCCTCTGCTGCTATGGAAAGCTGAGTACTTTGAGGCTTAGAATCTACCATATGCTATAAAATGATTTACTCTGCTGCTTTTTTATTTGTACAGGATGCTCCCCTTGAGAAACACAATGGTTTCTCATTTACAAGGCAGTCCTGCTGGCATCAGTGAAAGAGAGGAAGAAAAAGCATAAATATGAAATGAATCTAATGTTGCAACAAAATGGGATGCAGTGTTCAAGTGACCTAATTAATGCCCAGTGCAGACTGGGAGGTCTGGAATACTTTAATAGCTAAGGCTAAATTTTTAAGGTTATTTAAATACTGTGCTTGGTCGGGAGCTATCTGCGCTAGTTCTGCTGAAGTATTTACTGAGGATATTTTGGAAGAAAGGAAAGATTAAGTCTGTTGATTTTCACTGGAACTGGCGTCTGACTGTCGTTTTGGCTTACCAAAAGTCAACGTATGCATGGACATGCACACATACTCTGCATGAAACTCTGGATCTCTGCTCAGTGGCAATATTCATCCTCCTGCAATGGGCCAGGTTTGCACGCGAGTACCACTTCAAGAATTTCCAGCTGTTGCTGTACAGGACACATGAGGCTGGTGGTGGGGACATAAGGAGGTACATAGGGCTCTAAATCCTTCCTAGGAAGACTTCCTAAAGGTGTGCTGGCTTTGTAAGACTACTTGCCCACAAAACCAGTTGGAAACCTCCTTTCTTTCATACTTTATAGTACTTTCATAGCCATATGATTAAGCTCCAAATGTAGTGACATTTGTACGTCTTTTAACAATTAGGTAATAATTAAATAATTCTACTGTTGGGCATATGTGTGTAAAATTTCCTAGACGGAATTTAAAACCTTTTTCCATGAAAAATGAATAGTGCTAAAAAAGACATCTGCTCTTCTCTAAGTCAGGCAAAAATTCTGCTTGGACTCCTTTTAAAAGTAAAATCATCACCCATAAAAGCATTTTATTTTCTGTCTTCTGTGCTGCAAGTTCTTTTTCCCACCTCAGAACTCAACTCTATAATCCAGGGCATGGCTCTTTTGCAACTGAATCACGCTATTATTTGTGTTATGAAGGGAATAAGTTACCGGAATGTGTTTTGTTATCTAGATTTCCTACAAAAAGGGAGAGATAGAAATAGCCCAGTTTCTGAAACCATTTAAATTGCATGTAAAACCGGACAAAAGAGGTGAGATGTCACATTTGAGAAACCCAGAGTTAAGCTAAAGATCACATTTTCAATTCTAAATACATTAATTTTAATTTCAATTAAAAAATATTCAAATAAAGGACAAATAGCCCAGCCTGCATAATTTTTCTGAGGAAAAATAAAATAAAAAACGAGAAAAGCAAATCGATGACACACAACCAACAGTTATCACAAATCAGCTGCTCTGTGGTAGAAAATCATGTGCATGCATTTACTCTGTGGTAAGTGAAAATTCCTTTTTTTTGTATTTCATTGTACTTCATTACCTTGGTAGTGGGAGCTACCAAAGAACAGCTAACACATTATAACTCGCTTTGATACCGCAACTCATTTTATGCTGTGAACTTATGGCCTCAGCTCAGGAAGGTTTTTTTATTCTAAAAAATCAAGTGACTAGCCCATGAAAAGCCTATGCTTGAGTATGTTTCTGTTCAGGGATGTTCTTAACCAGCTATCAGGGTGCGCTCCTGGACTGCCCAAGCAAACGTCTACCACCTCTGACACTGCTAATGTTCTCAACTGCAGTTAACACCAAATGATGTTTCTAAGCCCTAAACTCTCAACAGAGAAATCTGGATGGCTTTCAGAACAAAGTCTTTATTTTCCCAAAGACATCAGTCTTTCAATCATACTGCTTAAAATGGCTATCTTTTAGTTTTTGCTTCTTAACTTGTAAGAAATCACACATACCATTAAAAAAGTTTATGTTGTTCTAGTGAAGAAAGAATAGGGGAACAGAAGAAGTAAAAAAGATTGCCCAGTGTGCGCTTCGCTAATAAATACTTTTGTGTGCAGACAACAGGCACTGGGCTAAGTCTCAGCTGGTATAAATTAGTATTACTCCATCAACCTCAATTTCCTTTCCTAAGCTCACAATATTGCTATTTAAAAAAAGTGTGTGTATGCAGAGATATGACAGGAAATATTCCCATGGACCCTGGCGTGAAGTATCCTGTGGGACCAGCATTTTAACGATGTTTTAAGCAACAATGCAAGAGGGAAGGACACAAGGCCATTGTGTGTTTTATGTGGAGCTGGCCTTTGAGCCTCACACAGCCTAAGGCTAGACTTCTTTCTCCTCCTAAAAAGAGCACCCTTCTCCACTCTACTTTAAGAATTTCCCTGGACTTTTTGCTTTGTGAGATGAAGAACCGGGTGTAAACCATAGCTAGCACTCGACATTTCTCCCGGTTCATTCCCACAAAGGTCATGTTCTTGGCATTCAGAGACTGTCACGTTTGTCACCCCCATCACGCTCCTAGCTAGGAGACCACAGACTAATTTCTACCTCCGCGGCCAGCACTGCTTAGCCAAGAATTGCCAACAACAAAGTCAAGGGAGCTCTCTTGCAGTGCTGAGCAGGGAACAGGACCTAGGCACAAGGAGGGGCAGCTCAGCAAGCAACCGGCACCCTGCAAGAGGATAGAGAGAGACCTGAAGACTTGTACATTCCTACCCACAGCAAAACTAGCCCTCCTTCCCCTCCTCTTGCTTCCCCTTGTGACTTTAGTCAGGTGATCTACACATCTGCAAGACAAAGATAATTGAAAGTAAAGGCCTCATCAGGCCACAGCAAAAGCACCCAAGTAGATGGCTGTAGCATGCCTATAAACTGATCAACTTGAGCACAGTGCTTGAAAAAAATCCAAACTCTCTAGGGGCTGCCTCCAGTTTTTTGGAACAATTAATCTCTGCAGAAATAATTTAGACCAATGTTAAATGTTGGACATATTGGTTGAGACCCACCACAGACACCTGCATCCTTAAAGCAGGATGACAATAGGGATATGAAAATCCGCACCCCCTCCCCATTCTATGCATAAGGGTGAAGTTGTGACCAGGAGTCACACCAAAATGCATTCAGAAGCTTCAAAACACTCAGCAAGAACAAAATACCTAAAAAGTATTTGGAAAGAGAGCCAGGAAAACTTAACCCCAATGTGATGCAAAATAAACCAATGATCAAAATCTCCAAAGCATGCACTCAGTCATGCTCAGGAATACCCTTTCCATGTGTGACATGGGAGAGAAGGCAATTAATACATTTTTCAGGGTTAGACTAAGACCTAACTTTAAGCTAAGTAATAATTTCTATGTTCTTCCCTGGTGTCTCTAGAGTCCCAGGAGAAAGGACTTTGCTGCAGACCTCTTCAGGTTGGTGCTCATGACCGTCACTCCCGTGCTGAGCTTCACGGGTGAGAGTGATGCTGGGATGCAAGGTGAGATTTATTACTGGTCCCAGCTGAATTTGGAGCTCCCTGTCACTTTCTGTCCTCGTTATACCCTTGCTAAACAGTGCAACGAAGACAGTGGATCAGACAATCCTTAAACTTTCACCAGGGGAGATCTAGGCATATTTGCCCAGAGAAGAGGCACCAGCTGAATTCAAAGTGCTGTTTTAAGCTAATTTTGTTGAGAAAAGTGGTTGTGTGAACATTTCTATTTTAAGCCCAAGCGAAGTCAGTCAGGCTGTAAATAAAAGAACTGTCCACATGGGGTTTGTATTGGTTTAACTTCAGTTGGTAGAAAAATCAATGCAAGGTCAACCATGCCAGCTTCTTGGGTAGACAAGGTTAAGGACCTACTCTTCTTGTCATAGCATTAAGCAGCTTAGAAAAAGCTTTAGATTTCCTTAGAAGTACACCATCAACAAGAGTAAACCCAATTTTAAAACGTAACTGAATAATAAACCCAGAAGTTGAGTAGAATTTGGGAAGATCCTCCACAACGTGACCTCTGAAACATCCTCGCTGTCATAACTATATCAGCCTACTGTTATTTCCCTAAGGAAAGGCTGACTGAAATCATCACCCAGCTGGTTAATAAGACAGGCACACCCTTGAAGAGTGAAGAGCATGTATTTTGTTGGGAATGGAGTCGGTGGTTAAAATCCTACTCTCAGCAAAGCACTCCATCTGACAGGCCAAGCACACAACAGGTACCTGCAAATAGCAAAGCCCTGAAATCAGTCTTTCCACTGACTTTTACAACCAGAAAGTCAGGCCTAAAGAAGATAATCACTAACTTCAATGTCTTTTTAGTCTCCAGGGTATCTACAAAAATAGTAATTACTGAATAGAGCTGTATGAACATTTTGGCAACACATATTTAATACATTTAGAATGCCTTTATAGGATTCAATTGTTCATGGAAAAGTACTCTTTAAATTTTTTTGGTGATTTTTTTTCACCAAAAAATAGCCCACATTAGAAATGCTAAATAGATTTTGTTTCAGCTTATATTTTTAGGTTTTTAGAAATGACCTTTCAGAACTTTTACATAATTAATTTCCAAATGAAGCCATATGACTCCACTCAACAATGAAAAGCAAAATGGAAAAAAAAAAAGAGGAAATATTCTTTCACATTTTCATTTACCTAAAATCTAACTTTTTGGTATTTTTAGGTATATGGTTATTTTTAATCAAAATGGAAAATGTATAATTTTTAAAATTTCTTACTAAAAAGAAAATGTAAGTGCTTCAAGTACCAAACATCTAAAGACAACTTTTAAAAGTTAAAAGATGTTCAGTTTTAGAAGAGTTTCCGAAACACTAATTTTGAATGAAATAATAACAACTTTTGGACAGCTACCATTTAGTATTTAGTGCGACAGATAAGCCTGCAGCCTCGCAGTCTGAGATATTATGCTCATTATCCATACTAATAGCTACAGAAATTTTTGAAAATAAATTCACAGAGTTTGACATTTCTTGCTTTCAATAATCTTTTTGGCAATCTTAGGTCTTTATGTATATTAACACATGCAGTGTTAGTTAACATATTAATACTAACACATGTAAATGCATATAAACATTTTTTTGGTTACAATTACTTTCATCAACACTGCTGAATTCCATTCTGCTCTGAAGATTTTTATATCTATCCCCTCACTTTGGGATAGAAGATAATATTACAGGGCATAGAAAGAATGACTTCTGAGTACCTCCACCATCCTTCTTGTAATTGTCAGTCGTTATCAGAAATGAATGGGAGGGGAATCACACATTTTGTACATGGCTTAGTTCATTTTTAGGGTAACTTTGCACAGGTGACTGCTTTATTTTCATGTCTGACAAAAAAAAAAAAGTCAGCAAAACCAGTCCTGTTAAATTGGACAGAGTGAGGATTTTAGCCCATCTTTTCTCCTCCTGCCTATCCGAGTATAAGCAATCTATAAGACGGAAGTGATACAAAGCTGAAAAGGAAGGAAGAAAAACAGATGGAAAAAAAACCCGCAAGAGATGCTCCAAGTCCAAGAGATGTCAAAAGGCGTTTTCCACCCACCATGGTGACTCATGACCTGCCCGGCAGCCTCCATACTGACATTCTGCAGATAGTTGTGGCAGCGTTCCTTGTGCTCCTCCAGCGAACTGCGCTGCTTGTAGCTCCGGCCACAGTAGTTGCACTTGTGAGGCTTCCCCACTGTGGAAAGAACGAGAGCATCAGGTCAAATCCACTGCAACCCACTTTTTGCTATCAAAACCCACACCTTTGCAACAAACAACACTTGCAATGGAAAGACACCTAAGAAAGGTTACTCAAGTCCCAGACCTTTTTCCCAGCCCTATTTTCCCACCGCACACACCTCCTCCCACCCGCTGGGTACTTTGCCCCATCCGTTTTTCACACTAATGTGCAGTATCAGCAGAGGGAAAAAGAGGCGGACTTGTTGGTTGCAAAGCAAATAAACAGATGACAAGAGGGGAAAACAAACCAAACAGCTAAATCACACCACAGCACTGCCTGTGTGTCACCAAGTCTTGTGGGAAAGAAACTTCTGAGACATTTTGCCGATGGCATGAACAGCTGCCTTCACAAAAACAAGCTGCCCCAGTGGCCTAATTCTACGCCCAACTGTGGGGAAACCCATTACATGGCCCAGAGGAGTTTTTCTTTCATTGAGACAACTTTGCCAAAATTACTAAGGGAAGGTTGGAGAAAAAGAAGACAACAGAAAGTAACTTTAGTAACAGCACTGTTACATGCCAGAACTGAGCTGCCACCAGTAATTCATAGAGACTGGATAGTATTAAAATATATGTAATACAAATATATATATAAAATAATATGAAAGGTCATGTGCAATGAAAATCAAGCCAGATGAATGCAAGACATAACTCCAGGGTTTGGGGTGTTTTTTCTTGTTTCACTCAACAGTATTATGAACAAATGGCAAATGCCTCTTAAGACATGCAAAACCTGGCACCAGATTCTCATAAAGTATATTCCTTTCGTAGCATGTCATTAAGAAACCACAAGAATGGCCTAACCCAGGGCCAGAAAGCTAGCCAGAAGTATATTTTGCCAAGCCGTGCTAATAAAGGTTTTAAATATAATTTAAACTTGTAGAACATGAACATTTATTCTCTAATAACTAAGGAGCTATTAAGTCAGTACTGCAAGTCTAGTAAAACACCATTGGCTGTGATTTTCAGAGCTGGCTGAGGGATGGGGAAGGTCAAACTTCTTCCAGAGTTTTGAAAATCTTAGGTAAGAATTTTAGTTTCCGGCCAAAGAAATTTAGAACATCCTCTGTTGGACAATATACATGTTTCTATTGGGTTTGTCCCAATATTGAAAGCTTTTCACAATCATTTACTTAATGAAATCCAAGCTTTACTAATTGCAGCCAAAATGCACTGTCACCACTGGGATGGGAAAATGCAGGGGAGACTGCAAGGAGGACACCCGTAGCCAACAAGAAGCCGGACAGAGGGCTCCTTGAGTTGGGGCTGAAGCCCAAAACATCAAAGACCCAGAGTCAGAGGAATTCTCTGGGGCCTCTGCAGGACTAGCACATACCACAGTGTGTGCCCCACATCACCTATGTAATGGAAGATGAAAAAGCCTGAGCCTCCAGTACCAGAGCTGGTCAAAAAGTTTCAAACATTTCTGTTTCAGAGAAAAAAGGGATTTGGTGAAATGAACATGCTTGCAGAAAGTTTCTGTTTTTCTCAAAAAGTGTGTTAGTGTGTGCAGTTCAAGCAAGTTTTCCACCAGGGGAAAAAAAGCTACTTTTAATAAGCATCCAAACTGCGGATTTATTTCTCTTTATTTAGATATAAGGCTTACCATCAGGAAAGCACTGTGTCTTCAACCAAACAGTTGTTGTGGTCTTTATTTTATTTTGCTCACTAGCTTACACTGTTGCCGTAACTGGCAGTGGAGGCCGAGTGTAAGGCTCATTACCACTCCCAGAGTAATTGCCCTTGATGTGAATGATCTGGATCAAGCCTTGGCTCTTAAATGTAAACCAGTCATCTCATTCTGGAAGCACCTTTAGGAAAACATACTGGCAGCTCCCTAGGATGGAAAGACTTTTATCATCACCATTACAATGCTTCATCATGCATCTAGATGGCATCAATGCCTGCCAGTCTGATGCCTTTATTAGAAGTTAACTTGGTGTCTAATCAAAAAAATCCAATGAAATTGAAGGGATTAAGTTAACCGAGCTGAAGCAAGACTGAATTAGCCCCCCTGGTTTGGCTACACCAGGTTATCAAGTAACTCAGATAAACTCTAAGATGCAAGGGAAAGCTTTCGGCTATTCCAGGGGCAGCTACAATTAATTAAATATATTATTGTTTAGCACAGAAAAACATATTCCCCTACAAGATCTCAGTACAAAAACTGATTGAACAATCAAAAAAAAGTTGGTATTACACCTCTTCAAATGGTTACTCCCTGCCTTGCAACAACTTTATAAACTATTCACACACAACAAGGCTGAGCTTTTCCAACGATGGTCAGCTATCCAAATTCCATCAAATTTCAAGGTTCATGGAGATGATAAAAGCTAATCATAAAGGCACAATTTCTACACGCAATATGGGATTTGAGGAACGTAACTCCCCGAGGAAAGAAATACTCCAGCACACACACTCCTTCCCTCTGGGGAGAAGATAAAAGAATAAACAACATGTGACAAATGTTAGTCATGTTGCCTAATGCACAACTGGAAGCTGCTCAGACACAACCATGAAGAACGAAGTTTGGGAGCTCCAGCTGGGTAGGATCAAACACAACTCCCTCAGGTTCATTTCCAAATTCTGTCCCCCCTGTTTTACAGATGCAATCACATCGTAACCCCACACATGTAAAATCTGATTTATACTATAAAATTACACAAAGTGACTGTGACCTGGGTTGCAGTGCAATTGATCAGGGCAGACCACAACAGAATCAGTTCCAATAGGAGCACTTTGTGTCACCAGGAATTCTCACAACCTGTTTGATAAGAGGTGCAGCTAGCCAAGGTGGCAATTACGGTCTGGATTTTAGAAACCTTGTCGTTGTGGCAAATGTCAAGTTATTGAAATAGCTACAAATTTCCCCTCATATTCCCAAAGTAACTAGTGACAAAAATATATGTATTTGTGGATGTGAATGTAGCCAGTGGGTGTACATTTTTCTGTATTTCATATTACCCAGTAGAAAGCTGTAGAAGTGTATTAGAGAATTCCAGTGATCTCCTCAACAGCACACTTTGTTCCACATAACAAACCACATGACTGCCAAGAGAGATTTCACCCTTTGTCAAACACTGTAGAGTAGGTAAACGTTAATAATCAAAATTTGCCCCCAAAACATTTGGATTGCACTACTGCGCACAAGCAGTCTATAGGCCATTGACTTGAAGGCAAAGAGTTCAACAGTGTTATAGAGTACCAAAACCCTCTCCAAGCCCCCACTAAAGGCAGTTCTTTCCACCATGGAGCCATTGCTACTGTGAAGGCACTTGAAGTTTGGCTTTGCTTGCTTGGTATGAAGCTGCCTTCTCAGAGATCCTCACTGAAGACCATGGTACACAGACACCACATTCACTACTGCCAATGGTAGCAGCATCCAAGCAAAGTCAGAGTGGAAATCCCTGGTTTGGGGTAGTTATTCCTTCATCACCTTTTCAGGGTAAGCAATCAGATAAAAAATTACCATCACTCATTCTCATAGAAATGACACAATACAGTGAATGCAAACAAGCCCAAAATCTTGAGAAATCTTCAATCTGTTGTTGAACTGGGAAAGACCAGGGTATTGGGCAAAACCCAGCGGCCACACGTATGAAACAGCTAACTTCAACATAAAAAACACTTTATATTTCTTACTGAAATGTCAGAATTTCCACGCATTTAAGCTCAGAATCATACAGATGACAACATGGCACAGAAAACCCACAGTGGAGTCTCAGCCTCAAATGGAAAATATTATGACAGTCACAGTGAAAAAGACATTTAAATTTGAAGTACAATTTTTACCATGAAACAGGTAAACCACTCGCTGAAATTCACAGAGAAACAGCATTTGCTTGTGAAATTAAAATGCTCATCTGGAGGGAGGAGAGGGAAGAGGAGGATGACATAAAAGGCAAGGTGTTTCCGAGTTAGGAATACTTTGAGTCCTGTGAGTGAACTTTGATAGCTGAGAAGCCTGCGTGCAGTGACAATGAGATGGTGTAACTCTAAGGTCAATATTCAAGTCAGAAAGCAGACTTGGGCTTAGGGAAACTTCTTTAAAGTCATAAAAAAAGGTCAGTGAAAGAGAAAGAGCCCGTAAGGCATTCGCACAGCATTTTGTTCTCAAAAGAGACAGGAGGGCATAGCAGAATACAAAGTAAGTCAAAGGGAAAGAACAAGGCATCCCAGGTAATACCTTGCCATAAGCATATAACATGAGAAAGGTTTACGGAACAGCTTAAGAGCAATGATACACTTCGCTGAGCTAAAATCCTGCCTCCATTAAGACCAATGACAAAACAGGCACCGGTTTCAGCAGTCAGGATTAACTACTCCCACATTTCCCTATTTTGGGTACCACGTTCTCCTCTGCAGCAGTGCAGAGCGGAACTCCTTCCTGTCCACCTACCCATGTCCTGAGTCCTGCTACAGCTCAACCACTAACGTGACCAGCTCACACAGGAAAGGGCATTACTACAGCTGTGTGTCATACGTCAGCCCAATCCAAGGACTAGACTTTGCACTGAGCTTTGTACAAGACTTTTATTATTTTTGCATTATTGCCCCATCAGGGCCTTGGAAGGAAAGCCAGCTGAGATTTCTGAACTAAGTGGCCATCTGACATAGCTACTTTCAGTCTGAGGAGGTCCCTCTGATAACAGCGCACCGAGCATGACTGACTTCTGTAAAATCTGAACTACCACTTGGCCCCTAGCACCCCAGAGCTGGAGGAAAGCCCAGTACTCTCCAACTGAAGCTTTCTGAAGCAGCATGAAAGAAGTTGAGATGTTCTTCTGGGCTGATACTCACAACTTTCAGTCAGGTTGCAGAATCATTTGTCACTATCATAACCAGTATTAATTCATTATTTCTTCTTTCTTCCCTAAAAGTGGAAGCTGCTTGGGAGATGGGAGCTGTTCTGCAGTTACACGGTGCCTACCACAAAGCAGCCCTTTGCCTTGAACA